CGTACGAATTAACGCATAAACTGGAAGTAAAGTCTGGGTGGTCTACCAAGCTCGCCTCTGTTTATTTTAAATCAACTGCTAGTAACAAATATCTCGTTAAAAAATGAACAAGGAGACTCCTTGTTTCAAACCTAAGCTACTCCTCCTTATTTTGATACAACTAATACACCATATTATATAAGATAGGTACACCTATGGATATAGCAAACCACGACTATAACAATATACTTTGCACTATGCGAATGCTCATAGATTTTAAAATTGTCGATAGTGAAATTGAATGTCCCACGATACTGGAACTATTGAAAGTTAATAGTCCAAGTAGGCAACGTCAAAGCAGCGATATTTTTTACACTGATCCATATCGTACCTCAATTGCGAAACAAAATTGTGTTACGAGAATACGTGCGATGGCTATACAGCCTTAACACGTCGACTGCCAAACAAATATTCCCGAAAATTTCTACTAGGATCGAATATTATTTACGCTATCGGAGACTACATAATCAAACATTTATCGTGGTATTTAGTTTTGTAACTTCATCGAAATTCACGATTTTCATTTAAATTCGTTGCCTTTGTCGCTCAACGTTTAAAATTATTTATTTTTCCAGTGGAAAGCACTGTCAACGTGTTGATATGTCTGTTGATCTTTTTTATGACTCATCTTTAGCATTTAAAAGGTCAGTCGTTGCAATTGTGCAGACGCGCAATCGAGTTCGAACACGTTACGTTATAAGATACCGTAATCGTTCCCATTTTTGTTTCGTTTTTCTTGTCGTCGTTGTTGTTACATTGTACTTGATATCAAGGGCAGATTACCCGTAAAATAAATAAATAAAGTATTATATTAGGAAATGAACAAGGATACTCCTAATTGCCATACTTATTCCCTTATTTCTCGAGGTAGCCAGTATCTCATAAAGAATGTAGCTGGACCGGTTTCGCGTTGGACCACTGAAGACGGGACGAGGTTAAAATTCGAGATCAGCGCGTCGCCAGTCAACGGTGGACCGATCTCCTGTTTAATTGTCAAGCGTTTAACGAAATTCGGCTCGCGGCGACAAGAGGCGAAGGAACGGAGCGTTAGAGGGTCGTGTCATTAAATTATTCCGGAACGTGAGCCCAACGGGTGTCCTCGATCAGTTTCTGTGCGTGATTCGACAGATGAATAACCCGGGAACATCTGACACGGTTCGCGACTTTTAATCCTGCTCGATAGCTGTCGAATTAGATTCTACATTTACTGTACTTTACCAATTTTCTGTCCAAGTCAATTACGGGATTCGAGTATTATTAAGAATTCGTTAAAGAATGATTAGAAACAAAAAGTGTCAAGTCTCGAGACGAAACTATAATTCTGTAGAAATTTTCATGAGTTTTAGACTAAAGCCCAACGTGTTAGGGAGACTTGATATTTGGTCGTGTTAACACTTTATCTACCGGGTTATTTAGAAACAGTCTTTAATTCAAAAAAGAATTTTCCACAGCAGCATATGCCAATCTAGGCTGACAATAATTCCTCCATACTGTTACCGATTACAGCGAAAGCCAAGTCTGTTTCCAAAAACTGAACATTGTTCGTAGACAACCATCGATACAGTAAATAAATATAGTAAATAAATTCGAGAAGCTAAATACTGGAATTAAGAAGCCTATAAATAGGCTCCCAGTAAATAAAGTGTTAATGTGCTTTCCTCCTTTAATATCGAAAGAAACTGTTCCACAGGCAGCCGAGAGGAAAGCGCAACTTGTTATCCAAATTCGTTTCTCTCGACACCCCGGATCGGGCTCGATTTTCACAGTGGCGCGTGCAAAACGTTCAAGTACTCTCCAGGACGTCGGAATTGACCAGAAGAACGCGCTCCGAGTCACTGACTCCGAAAAACGATCCTTCAGCGGTCGGCGAATAGTGAGCGTGCGCGCGAGCGTGTCGGCAAACAGAATCGCTCGGTGGAACGGCATCGAGCCCCGGGGTTGCCTCTTCTCTTCGTGGCCGATGAACACGTTGTCCCCCGAGCCTCGTTTTGCGCGCAAAAAACGTCAGCGGCAAGAAAATTCCAATGATTTTTCGAACGGGACCGGTTAATCGAAGGCTTTTGCGCGTTGCGCCACTTCCGTTTTCATTTCCATTTCGACAAATTCTCGATTCCCGATATACACGCGCGTGCCAGACTGCGTTCCTGTGCAGGCCGTTTTCCATTTAAGGTAGTTGTTTCTCGACGGTCGCGTTCCGAGATATAATTGGAAACTGTTTCCAAAGTACAGGACATTTCGATTTAAATCGAACAAATTCGCGCGAAAATCTGCACGTTCCACGAGGGTCTGTGTTAACGTTACAAAATACTGATATCGTTTTTCATCAAATTGGGCACGGTCGACAATTGTTAGTTTTCTTTTTTTAATGGTTCATAATCTCGGTTCTTATAGCATATTAAATTTTCAGCAATTTTATAAATTGCGTTTCGATTTAAACTGGAAGAGTTCCGTAAGGATCTGTATCAGAATTACAACATTTTTGTATGAGCTTTCATGAAACGATGATGGTGAATTTATATCGAAATCCTACATCAAATATTAGGTCGTCCCATAAGTTCGTGCCGAAGACTGTGTCGAAATTTAATAAAAATTCACAGAAATTTTCTAGTAACGCTATAATGACTATCCGAGAGAGGTGAGAAACTGTTGTGAAAGGAGACAGATTATCTTTTCTTGTGACACTGAAGAGTATGTTTCGCATATTAATTTGAGAAACAGAAGTATAAATGGCACGAACTTTTAGGACGACGTAATAAATCCACGGTGCAGCTAGCTTAAGTGAAAAAGGTGGCCAGTGACGATTTCGTAGGAAAAGGTGGAGAGGTAGCTGATTGGACACGAAGCTGACGATACGAAGTAACTCTAGTGCTTAGACTCAAACTATATATCGAACCAGAAAATAATGAAGTTCCAAAAATTTTTCTCTAGTTCTGGTTTCTCTCCTGCCCCCTCCGCGTGCCGCTCCACTTTTTATACCAAGACTCCGCGGTTCCTTTGGCCGTTTCGTCCACGTTTACCAACAACGGTAATTACTCGGGTACTTCCCCCCTTTCGCGCGATTATGATGGACGAGTGAGCTGGAAACTCGACCACGTGCTCGCGAATTTATTCCAAGAGGCCACGATCGGTCGGATCTGTCGAAAAAAATAGAGAGAGAGAGAGAGAGAAAAAGAAAGAAACGCATGGAACGAGGTGAAAAGCCGGCGAAAGGTGGGGTCTAAAAGGGAGAAAAAGAGAAAGAAGGAAGGAGAATTCGTACCATTTGGTCCGGATTCGACGTCGGTTAACGCAGCGGGGTTACCGCGGACGCCTCGGCGGACACATTGAGGGCGCCCGCTCGACTTGATAATCGCTTGCCATTCATACACTTTTCATTGGATTGCGATTGAGCATTAAGAAACCAGAAACCCGAGGGCTACGTTGCACCAGGTCCCGCGTATTAGCATTAGGAGGCATCATCTCGAGTGTAAACACTGCATGAGCACCGCGGATTTGGTCACAGTCTAGCACCGCGGGACATCGTCCCTCCTCGCGTGCACCACCTAAAGCTGCGTCGACGTTACGTACGATTCCCCCACCCTTCGCTTCGGTGAGTTATGGATTTTACAATTTTAAACATTTCGGATATCGTGGTAGGGAGGTTAAATAAATAAATGAATAGCCTGGCCGGAAACACGCGAGAACACTCGGTCAGCGCGAATCGAAACGAAACAGAAACGTCCAGCGGTAAATTTGACGAAAAGTCAATATCAGGTCGACCCTGAGGCACACACACACACTCCGACCGAAAGAGGATCTCGCAATCTGCTGACGCGAAGAGTCTCTCTCTATCCCGATCCTGTCAGGAGCCAGTGAAAAGAAAGCGGTTTGTCGTCGGCCTTAACTGCGATCCACGGTTAAAGCTCACGCCGATGATCCCTTTTATCCAATCCGTGAGGAGCCGCGAGGCGTTAAATCCCCCGGGAAAATCTCCGTAACTGAACTCGCGTTCCGGCTAAGTCGGTCAGCTCGGTCCAGCCGAGCGAGAGGATCACAATACCGTCACCTACCGGGGAATCACCGGTATCCTCTTCCCGTACCTCCTCCCCCCCCCCCCCTTTCGACTAGCTGGAAAATTAGTTGCGCGAGAAATTCATGTTAATGCACGTGTAATCGTCGCCAGTTGTCCGTGAGAAAAAGGCCGACGCGATGAATCGCCTGGAAGAATTCGACGCGGTCGCATTAGCAGCTTCTTCGGGACGAGGATTCCTCGAGGTAAGGACGTTTTCTGGCCCAGCGAATGGGCGACCAAGGGACCAGCGAATTTAGTCGTCTATTAGGATCGTTTGCTCGAGAATAATCGTTTACTTTCGCGCTATCGGACAAGTTCAGACCGTTGGTGTAGGCTTTTACTGAGGAATTCTTTGCTGCGTGTAGTTTTGCGCGTTTTTCGGGATTTTGTTCGGGCGCGATGGTTTGATTTCGTGGAGAAGGTAGTAGATTTCATTTTTACGGTTAGTCCTGTTGCGTGTGAATGCATTGAATTAATAGGATTGCCAGTGGTGGACTTTTATCGAGGTGGATCGGGGCTGATTGTATTCCTGTCGCTGCAGTTATGTGAGTCGATGCTTACTGAATATCTTTTTCGATTGCAAAAATATTTACGTGATCCTTATTTATAAGGGACTTTTGTTATCTTATTAACAAACCTTATCCTTACTTATTTTTGAGAGATGAAAGAAGGTTATAGAAACATGATCGATGATACGTTTATGATTAAATTGAACATGAATTGTTTTCACCGAAAGTTAGCACTGGAGAACGATATTACTTATGGATTGACCTAATCGAAATGAAAATCTCGAAGGTCCTTTTGAAAAAATACTGGTCTACTCTCTCTAAACTCCCCCTGTATTTCAGTGACGATAAACATCTCCCTTCTAATCATATCTATCCTCTAATTGCATCCCTTTCGTATTTAGGGCTGGAAGAGGTGGAAGCCAAGAGCAATCAAACGACGATTATGATCCTTACGCGCATCGCGAAACTCTGAAACCAGTCTCGTATGATCAACCGCTGAATTTTCACGAGAACGTTAGCGCAAACGCGGATCTCGCTAATTCTCGCTAAATCGTTCGCGTATTTCAGCGACTTCGGATCGTTGGCGACTCTGGTGAAGAGCGCAGTCGGGACAGGGCTGTTCGCGATACCGAACGCGTTCTCCGACGTTGGTTTGTTTATTGGAATAGTTGGCACGATTCTAATGGGCATGTTCATTACGGGATCCCTTCAAATCCTCTTGAAAATTCATCAGACGATGTGCATCAAACTGAAGAAACCAATTCTGAATTACGACGAGGTGGTCGTCGCTAGTTTGACGATCGGGGTTAGGAAACCTTGGCTCTCTGCGCGGGTCGCGACGTTAGTACATTTAAATCGAATTTATTTAGGCAGGATATAAACATTTTCACCAGGGTACAATTTCTCATTTAAATCCCTATTAATTTCTGTCTAACCTATTTCAATTCATTAATTACGCTCAATAGTAAAAATACTTTTCAATGAAATTGTATTAGTATAGTAGCTACGTGAATTTGGTTACAGTGAATTAATTTTCACGTATATACTGTATTTAAATTCATGTAAAAAATCGAGAGGCTCGAACAGATACGCTTATTACAGTGTTTCGGAAACATCCTGTACAATTAATTTTCTTAATTGCACCTGTACTTGTTAATATTCTTCAATGACAATTTCTCACGTTGATTCTACTTTCCACTTACATTCTCATTTGTTCATTATTTTCTTTTCTTTGCAGATTCATGGTCGACGTGATCATGTTAACGTGTTACATGGGCGTCGGCGCAGTGTATGTAGTGTTCGTATCTGGAGTGATTCAAGAATGCATCGACACTGGGAAAACGATCGATCAAGGATATTATGCGTTGATGTTCTTTCCTATTTTCTTTCTAATGAACATGATGAAACATTTGAAGGACATGGCGAGTGCAGCCATCGTTGGGAATGTGTTACTCTTTTCAGCGGCTCTGATCGGTACAGTGTACGCGTTGAAGGACGGCATTGGAGAAAAGTGGGTCTGGGTCAGTCCACGTATCGGTCTTTACCCGAAATTTATTGGGACGGTTTTCTTCAGCATGGTTTCTCCGGGAGTCGTGAGTTTGTGCGATGATATCGGTTTAGACTCCTAGAATCCGAAAATTGTAAAGGCCCGGACTCCAACAACTTCGAATTTACTTTACAGATATTAGCGATAGAGCACGAAATGGAAACACCTTGGAACTACACGAAATTATGCGGAGTGCTCCATTGGGGTATGACGTTCATAACATTGCTGCACGTTCTTGTCGGTGCTATTGGTTACTTGAAGTGGGGCACCGATGCTTTAGGAAACTTCATTCGAAACCATCGCGTAAACGACGTGTAAACATTTTCTCTTCTGTTTTAATTGTCAGAATTAAGTATGTTACAGTGAAAGTTGTAACGATAGCAAATGGTAAGACTGGGATGAATGTCGTCATATGACGACTTGTAATGATTATGACGATTTATGATGGCTTATAATGACTATGACGATTTCTGATGGCTTATGTTAGCTTATGATGATGACTTATTATGACCATGACGATGTATGACGAGTTATGATGATGATTATGACGATATATGACGGCTTAGGATAACGATTATGACTGCTCATGACACTTATGATGATTCTGACGATTTACGACGTCTCATAACTTTCCAATACTAATAAGTAACATTATTTTGACAGAGCAACCGTGGCTGCCCTGTCGATGCAAGCTATAGCGATATATTTCACGTACGGATTACAATGCTACATGCCAATAAATATATTATCAAACGCGTACGTGCTCCCAGCCCTCGAAGAGAATATTTGTAAAGGAAGTCCGTTCGTCTGGGACCTGATTGTTCGTTTCGCCGTCAGCCTCGCCACATGTACACAGTTCTACTTTTAAAATCGCGTTCCTATCTGTGAAATGATTTCAATCCAGTAAAAATAATCAAATGAAAGTTCTAGTCGACAGTCCTCTCGCCTACACCAAGGATAATTTCACTCCAAACAGAACCTCTTCTCCTATCCTTCTTCATCCCTACACCTCCACCTTTTTCTCTTTCATATTTTCAAGGTAAACTCGGTGGAAGTTTGCTCGGCTGCAACAGATTGAAACTCTTCTCTCTCGAGCGGGCAACTTGGCGGAATCGATCAATCGATCCGATTGCAGTCCATCACGAACTCAGATATTACGAAAGTTCCCGAATCTACTTTCGCAAAATTTAGTATAGATAGCCCAGTTTCAGCCGTAACTTGACGTAACGAAACTCTCTTGGCGCGAGTATTCATCGCTCTAATAAGGAACGGTTGATTAGGTCGAATTTCGAGCTTTCCATTGATTCTTTCTGGAAAGAAAGAAGTAGAGCCGATAGTTCAAACTTGTCTCTTCTTTCGTCTTATTATTATTTCTGTGTCGTGTTTTAAAACCACAAATTTAATAACATTTTTTATTATCAAAATACTCGCCCCGGACTATGGGGCCACGAAGACGACATTAATAAGAGCAGGAAAAAATATTTGCAGGTTTGTTGGCAGCATCGATACCCAAACTCGACCTATTCACTGGCCTGGTTGGATCTATCTGCATATCGACTTTGTCTACGCTAATTCCAGTCGCTCTGTACATTCTCGTGTATTATGGCAACTATGGATCGCGAAAATGGAGACTTATCTTAGGGCTATCCTTACTGTTCATTGGACTCGTCATCACGCTATGTGCGGTCGTAGTCAATTTAACCCTGATCGTTCAATACTTTGCACAGAAGTAACGTATGAACACGTCGTGATATACTATATATTATACTAGAAACTGTGTATGTACTGTTAAAAACGTGTATGAACAGACCTGAGCGTATTTCAAATGAAATGAAAATAAGAAATTACATTATAAATTTAAAAAAAAAAATGATGTTCACTTATTAAAGACCGATAGTGCATTCTCTAGATTACGATATATTACGACTTATGGTGACTTACGATGATTATAACGATTTATGATGACTTGTTATGATAATTATGGCAATATATGACAATTTATGACGACTTGGACCGATAGTGCATTGTCTAGAAAATCCCACCACTTCGACCTACGTACTTACCCACAACCCCATCGAGCCAACGCGAAAATCCTCAGGGAAAAAGGCTCGTCTCACATAACGAAGAAGGGAAGCTTGCAAAGCGATGCATAATCGCGTCAGATCATCCAGCCGTCGGTGGCCGAGGCTTATCGCTTATCTCTACACGGGCGCGGATAGGTGGACGCAGATGTGGAAACGCAGGTGTGCGCGTGTGGGTGCGTACGAGTGTCAAAGTTAGCTGGTTGGCGAACCAGCGCCGGGGGTGGGTGCTTCCATCCCCACGAAAAGGAACGAAAGCGGAGGCAGCAGCGAGAAGAGAGTCGGCGGCGGGACACAGAAGGGTGCATCCGTCGCACAGGGTGAGGACACAACCCCTTTTAGTGGCCACCACTCTCTTACCCTAGCCGTCACCCTCTGTCGTTCTTCCTCGCTCGAGCCTGCTACTACAGACTGGCTACGGCTGCCCGTTCATCCGTTTGCCAGTTCAAGGTGGTTGCGTTCATTACCAGAGGATATACAGGCTGGTGTGGGATTATTGAATGGCCGCGATTCTGCTCGTCAGGTATTAATATGGGAAACTTTCCCTCGAAAAATTAGGTACTCGGGATTTTTTGGATTAGAGGAAGACTAGAAAGTTGGATGTTGATGAAGAAAGTTTTTTTCATCTAAGGATGCTTAAATTTAAATTTTATGGAGATTGGTAGATTGTAAAGGAGGTAAATTGAAGTGAATCAAGGAATATTTGGTTCGAATCAAATGGTTGTCAACGTAATTCAGCGTTGTTACTCCAAACCACAAAATGGATGTGCAAACTTTTAAGTAAATTAAACTGCTACAACCAGTCACGGTCTGATTCAAAATAACGAGGTGCGCTTATATTTTTAACAATTATTAAATCATCAATCAACTGCTATAACCAGTCGTAGTCAGTTTGATTGTACCAATTATGAATTACTGATAGCGAACGTCTAACATTTCATCGTTTTATGGCTAAGGAAAAAAAAAAGAGACAATTCCTTGGCACCTGTTCGCGTGAAACGAAGTGATTAGGAGAGGATTATGGACGCAGTATATTATTGAACGAGCACGTGCGTCTCTCTTGCGGTGTAAGTAACGAGTCGACGACAGAGTGTCCCCGAGGTTTTTTTTCCTTTTAATTGGTACAAGCGTTGGCCATCCCTTGAACGAAATTGCAAGGATTAGCCGTAGGTTCTGGTGCACGTGCACTTAAATGCTCGCTAATTGCCCGACAGCGAGTCCTCTAAGTTTCTCTAATAAGAAGCTTTGACGATTTCAAAAGCGGACCTCGTTACAGAGACCATTTAACGAGTTATCGAAAATATGTCTGTTCGTGAAAAATCGTGCCAATTAACCGCTCGTAACATCGGAACATATTGGAATTTTTTATTCGAAATAAAAAATCGGGTACATATTTTTGAATAGTTTTTGTTGTGAATAGTGAATATTTGTTTCCTGGTGTGGCGCCATTATCTTGCTCTATTGCCTTTTGTTTTTGCGCGCACATAGTCATAAGTCTTTTTTAACCGACTTCGAAAAGGAGTAGTTTACTCGATTCGACATGTATATATATATATATGTATCGACAGTATAGGCCGGTCGGTAGCATAGGCCCCGCAGGCGCTCCTCCGGCATACTCGCGCTCTGATTGGTCGGGAGTTTCTGTTTCGCTACGGAAAAATTGTTTCAATCCCCCCTCCCCCGGGGAACAAGCCTTTTCAAGGACCTCCAACGTTTTTGGATCATCCTGTATATTGCTCATAACTGTTGTTATTGTATGAAACCTCCTGATTATAGATTGCCACTAAAAAGACTGAAATAAAATAATTTTTTGGAAAAAAATTTAACCAACTTCAAAAAAGGTACAGTGAAAAGTATGAAATAATTTCTAGTTAATTTATATGAATACGCACTAGCTCTAGATATAATTGTTTAAAAGTATAGGGAAATGCAGTGAAAAGCATGAAATAATTTCTAGTTAATGTATATGAAACTGCATTATGGACCGAACACTCTACATTACCGGCAGAGCACTCAACATTACCGACAGAGCAATCTGCATTACCGACAGAGCACGCTACATTACCGACAGAGCAATCTGCATTACCGACAGAGCACTCCAAATT